CAGAAAGAAAGTGAAAAAACTCCATATCATTGCCTTTTAAGCAAAGGCTATCGATTTTAAATTGTTGTTGTGCTTCATTTAGTAGATATGTAAAAGCAGAAATTTCTAAGTCGTTAGACCACGGAGCTCTAGATTTTTGTTGAAGTTGTTTAATTCTATTCATATCCCCCATTATTTCATGAGCCATTTTTAATTCAATTAATTGCCGGTCATAATTGCCAAAGTTAATAAGGAGTCGTTGAATAAAGTACCGGGATAAAATAGCACGTTTACGTAAAGTATCTTGTGCATGATTTATTACATGAGGACCTGCAGAAAGAAAGTGAAAAAACTCCATATCATTGCCTTTTAAGCAAAGGCTATCGATTTTAAATTGTTGTTGTGCTTCAGTTATTAGATACGTAAAAACCGAAATATCTAAGTCGCTAGACCACGGAGTTCTAACTTTTTGTTGAAGTTGTTTAATTCTATTCATATCCATCTCCCCCACTATATTATGAGCAATTTTTAACTCGATTAATTGTTGGTCATATTTTCCGAAGTTAATCAGAAGCCGTTGAATGAAATATCGAGATAAAATAGCACGTTTAGCAATCATAGCTTTTGCAACCGAAAGATTAATAAAAGTTGGTCCTAGTCTTATGGCATGAAATAGGGCATGAGCCCTTCCATATTTATAAATAATCCATTCTGCTCTAGCCTGGCCATCTCTAGTAATGGAACAAACCCGTTTACAGGAGATAGCTAAGTTAATGGGGTATTCTACAAATTTAAAAATATTTATCAATATCTCATTGGCAAGGATTTGCATGCCCGTAAAACTTCTAGCATCTTGTTCTGAAGTGTTTAATGTATGATTTTCATTAGGAATCTCACAAGACATCATCGTTGCAAGAATAGACCCACAAAATAATCTCCGATGAATCATTTTATTTTATACATTTCGTATAGTTGTACGAATACGTTTGGGGAAACCGTATTTTCTATTTGCTATTCTAGTAGAAACGATACACAAAGTTCTCCATTTATCGCTCAAACAACTAATTTGTGATAGGTAATACATAGTCCGGAGTGTATGCATGTGTTACAAATATGCTACGATAAATGATATAAATTGTTAGAATTATCGGACTCTTCGCTTTAAATATGATGGCTTCACTAAGCTGTCTCAATAAATCTATTTTGGCAAAAATTATCAATTTTTACGATTTTAATGAATTCAAGACTGACATCAATCATACAGAGACTAAATGTGGATGTGTTGTAAGGATTTGGAAAGATTGTAATCTCTTAGTTACTTTTAAACCATTGAAAAAAAAGGATTTTATTGTTAAAGAGGTACTATTATAAATTACGATTTTACCATAATATACTATTTCTAAGTGCATTATAATTTAAATATAAATGTAGGTTGAAATTTTACAAAATGTTAGCTTTCATCCCAACATTTCTCGACTTTATGGAATTACTAAAGGTGACGAAACAAATCATATTGTCCCTATATAATAATTTATTAATCACTAATTTTATAAATAAATAGATCCTTTAAATGAACATTACTATATAACTATATAGTTGAAAGATTAAAACAAGAATCCAATGAGATGTTTCTATATAATTATATGATTGAAAGATTAAAACAAGAATTCAATGAAACGTTTCTATATAACTATGTCGTTAAAAGATTAAGACAAGAACCCCCTGAGACGTTTCTATATAACTATATGGTTGAAAGATTAAAACAAGAATTCCCTGAGACGTTTATATATAACCATATGGTTGAAAGATTAAAACCTGAGAGTATATATAAGATGGATGTTTGGGACTTTATTCCCAAACTCAGCAATGCCGAAGTCTCAATTAATAGTAATCAAAATTGTTTCCAAAATGCATCTCAAAATCAAATCTTACCAATCAAGCGAGCAGCATTTTCACAACATGCTACTGATTCCTTAAACTCATTAACAACATGGCTTGAAAAGGCTATTTCTGAACGCCATATTAATTATTATGATTACAATGAATTCATTAATCTCGAGATAATTTATGAAGGCGGATTTGGAGTGTTATATAAAGCTGAATGGAGAGAGTGTGATTTGGCGGTTGTTCTTAAAAGCTTAAAAGTTAATAGCTCTAAGCTTGTTAAAGAGGTACTGTATTTTTAAAATGATTTCAAATATTTCTAATGACAATTAAATATTTATTTTATGCCACATGCATAGCTTATACATCTGCGTACGGTTTCTTTCCACCCACATATTGTGGAATTTTACGCAGTAACAAGAAGTGAGTTACTAGGGTTTATTTCTATATACTTTATACCATTAAATGCAATTCAATGATAATTTAAATATATGATATAGACCCATCTGGAGATTACATCATGATATTACAATATGCTAAGAATGGAAATTTAGAACAGTATTTAGAAGAAAATTTTTTAAAGTTACAATGGGATAACAAATTACGCATTGCTAAAGAAATTGCATTGGGGCTTGTGTTTTTACACAAGCACGATATTATTCACCGAGATCTTGTACGTCACATAATAACAGTTATCTATTTAAATTATACGATGTCATAAAACACTGTATAGGTGACTTGTTAATTGTTTATTATCTACTGTACTTTACAGCATATCAAGAATATCTTGGTCCACGAAGATAAAATATTAATTGCCGATTTTGGTCTGTCAATATATGATGCGGAAAACTTTATTGATTACGGCATATATGGCATGCCGGCATTCATTGATCCTCAAGCTTTAAAAGAATTTTCCTATAAATTTTCAAAAAAATCTGACATCTACGGCTTGGGAGTTATTTATTGGGAAATTTCCAGTGGTCATAGGCCGTTTGAAACCATGACCGACCTTGAAATTATTTTTAATGTACAACAAGGAAATAGAGAAAAACCGATAAAAAACACTCCGTTGAGATTTGTTAAGCTATATGAGCTATGTTGGGACGAAACCCCAGAAATTCGTCCAGAAGCAAGTACTATTCTTGAAGATTTAAATTTGTGCACTTCTGATGAGGTTGTATAAATAATGAACGAGAGAAAAGAATAACTAGCTTTATTATTTTGATTTTAAGATCTTTCTCTGCATTCATTGCCGTTGACAAAATCTGACAAAATCTGAATTCTTGTATTATTTTGATTTTATGAACTTTCTCGCATTCATTGTCGTTGACAAAATCTGAATTCTTTTTTGTATGGATAATTCTATTTGCAATGATTTATCCCAGAAATCACAAAAAAGAAATTGTTTAATAAAATTTTTTTAATTTTCAAAAAATTTTTAACAAATCATATAATCATCTTAAGTGAATTAGTGGTTTGATGGATTGTTTAATTTAATAATGATTTTATTATATCCATCTGAGATTAAAAATAAAAAATTTAAACAAAAAATGATTAATTGCTAAAAAAATACATATCAAAATTTAAAAAAATTCATATGTATGTTTTTAAATAAATTGAATTTAGGAAAATCTATTTTCACCCAGGTCAAAGTAAACCGATATATGATTTTTATTATTATTATATGTAATATAACTAACTTACAGTATATCCCACTTTAA